GTCAGAGGTATTTGTGGCAGTGGGAGCTCAAGAGGCGCTTCAGCCAAGTTGCCTAGAAGACAGTGGGTCAGGAGAACCAGTATTCCAGCTGTTGGAACATCTCCAGAAAATTTCTTGCTGAGTATGGAGAGTGTTTGTTCTCAGGATGTTCCAGGATCCGGCAGTGTGCGTCTGCAGTGGGAGCCGGTAGGGACCGAGGACGAGTCAGGGGCAGATTTTGCCGTGACTGATGTGTTGGAGCTTGGGAGAGCTTCAACGGGCCTTTCAGTTGTCTGATGATAGGGCCGCTGCAACAGGAGAGCTGAGGAAGATTACTCGATGTACAGGCGATCGTGGCGGATGGCAGTTGATGTTTATCAAGCCTCCAAGTGGGAGAATGTTGGGCTTTGTGGAGGCTTGTTTGTCGGCCCAGCCCAGTTGTGCGTAGCCCTAGTTTTTTTTTCCCTATATATATAGGGCTTGTACTTGTAATCTGTACCACAAGTGAAATAAGAAAATCCTCCCGTTGCAGCCGTGGATTAGGGAAACCGAACCACGATAAATTCTTGTGTGTCGTTTGTGTTCCGTTTCTCTCTTGATTCTCGCAGATATTTGTGTGTGTTGCGTGCATAATCCCCAACAAAAATATCAACACATATCCCTTTACATGTGATCACTTTTCTTAAACTACAAACTTTATTTAGGCATTGAGTTTTTGTTAACTTCTAACTTTTTCTAACCTTTTCAAGTTTCTTAGAACTAGTTTTAATTTCTCTAACAATAATTTTAAAAATGTATTTATATATAATTTAAATATAATAATATTATATATTCAAAATTATAATATATCACCTCAACTACGGACACGAATGATATCTTTTTATCCTATATTGGAATTTTCTTACATATTTATTTAGATAGTCATTTACTCCCTCCGTCCTAAAACTTTCTTCCCGTTGCGCAAAACGAAGAAAAATCCCAAGTTTTTTCAATCTATTTTATTTAAATATTGGTATATAAATAAAAAATAAAACATATATATTTAAAAACTACATCAAAAGTTCAACAAAACAAGTGGTGACAAGAATATTTTATTTTATCATATAGGCCATGAAAAAACACAAATAAATATAAATTCCCGTGAAGTTGGAATAGTGCTATGAGAAGAAAGTTTTAGGACGGAGGGAGTAATTGAATAACATTTTAACATTTTAATTCTTCCAACATTTTCTAACTTCTTCTAATTTTTTCAAACTCGCACGTGTCTGTTGGAGTTACCACATAGAATATAAAGAAGAATACTACTAGTATGTATGAAAGGGTGAAGCTCAACCTATCAGCTTAATTTTTTGGATTAGAATAGTGAAGCATAACTTTATATTTAAGTAGTTAATTAATTTTATTTGACACTCTAAACGTTGTTCTCGGCCCATCAGAATTTTAACATGATATCACAATATGTCCAGTCCAAATTTGATTCTTCTTGGTTGTTTAGACGTGGATTTAACAAGATGACAAACTCATTCCTGGTTTGAGTTAAGTTGGCTATAAGAGATTGACATATCATCACCTATTGTAGATAAAGGTGTACATTAGCCCCCTCTGATGCTGATTTGCTTCTTGTTCTCTATCCACGGGCTAGGCATGCAAATGGAACTCATTTTTTTTACTTTTTACTCTCCCTATTCAAGAGTATTTATCTAGTTTCAATTTTTTGTTGTCATCTCGGATCAACCCTTAGCTTATAGATAAATAAAAAATTATAGAGTAAATTTCATAAAAGGACCTCACTTATAGGTCATTTTACATATTTAGTCCGTACATATCAAATATTACTAATTTAGTCCTCAATTATTATATTCATTCCCACGAATGATCTTTTGTTAACATTTTCGTTAAGAACGTGGATAAAATTGTAAATTTACACTCCTTTATCTCCTCAATTAAACTTCCTCCCTCCCCTCGCACGCCTTTCCCAAATTCGTCGCTGAGTCTGAAGCTTTGAACCCAAAACCGAAATTATCACTCTTCTCTCAATTGTTTGTCTAACTGGTGGAACCCAAATTCGAAACCAGTAACGTTCATAGATGAGTTTTAATGTTTATTTTCTTTGTAATTTCTTGAGATTAACCGATAAAACTCATCCATAAAGCTTATTGGCTTTGATTTTAGGTTCCACCATGAAGACTAATAATTGAGAGAGGAATGATTATTTCAGTTTTAGGTTTAGAGCTTCAAACTAAATGACGAATTTGGGAAAAAGTACGAGAGGAGGGAGGAAGCTTAATTGAGGAGAGAGAAAAGTATGAATTTACAATTTTATCCATGTTCTTAATAAAACCGTTAACATAGGACCATTCGTGAAAAATGATATAATAATTGGGGACTAAATTAGTAATATTTGATATGTAGGGACTAAATATGTAAAATGACCTATAACTAGAGACCTTTTATAGAATTTACTCAAAATTATATGCTATATTAGTTGGATAAAAACTATTTACAAAATAAAACTAATTAAATTCTTGTTGTATCAATATGTATTTTACTCTCTCATTTCCATAATGTTTGTCACTCTCGGAACAATGTTTAAAATCTCATCACTTTTAAATCCGTTTTAATTAAAAGTTGGTATGAAAATAAAAAGTTACAATTTGCATCGTTCAAATGATATCAAAGGTTCTACAAAACAAGATACAACATGAATCTTTTATTTTATCAAATTATCAATGAAAATATAGAAACAGATAAAAAATATTGAAAAATTGTAATAGTAACAAACATTGTGGGACAGGGAGATATATATGTAATGGTAGAATTTATCATATAAATTAATCCAAGAATAGTTTTATGAGAGTTTTTGTAAAATATTTTCAAAATATTTGTTTAGCACGTAATTTCTGTTTAGTTATAAATCAAAAGGCAATTTGAGTTGACTGTAAACGATGAAAGTAAGAAATAAAAAGACTGAGTTCCATTTGCAAGTTGACAATATGAAGACTACATTTCTCGAGGCAAAAATTTTACGTTATGCGTTACGATGTTTGACTGAAGTTATTTTCAAATCATTTTATATGAAAAATAGTGTAGAATTGAAAAATAAAAAGATCTACAAAACTAGATGTTACATGATTATATTATTTTATCAAATGGGTGACGAAAATAAGCCAACAAAGTGAATAAAGTTTGACCCTGTGAATAGTAAACGTAAAGTTTATTTGTGGACGGAGAGAGTATTATATTATTCCTTCGTCTCTAAATATTTCTCACGCATCTATTATCGAGGTATATTATCAAGTTTTTTCAATTTATTTTATTTACATATTGGTATAGAAATAAAAAAATAAAATTTACATATCAAAAAACTACATGAAAAGTTATTCGAAATGAGAGGTGTCAAGAATATTTTATTTTATTAAGTAACACATGAAAACGTAGAAATAAACAAAAGTTTTCGTGACTACTAAAAAAGCAAATATGAGATATATTTTGAGCCGGAGGAAATATTAAATTATTTTATATCAAATAAGATTTACGGAGTATAATGTTAAACTAATGTTGTCTTAGTGTATTTTTGTAAAATTTGACTTTTTTTTAGTTAACTTGGACAAATTATGAATGACAATTACACTCAATTTATATTGCATTTTAATATAATAAATAAAACTTTTCAATAAGATAAATGTAATAAAATTATTTTTATACAAATACACATTCCGGCTTTTATTTCATTAAAACTCAAAATTCTTTCAATTTAACTTAAGAAAAATCAAATTCAACAAATACATTAAGACGAAGGCAGTACAAAATATAATCAACACATGATCTCAAAAAGACCATGAGAATACTAATGCACAATATATAACAATGCTCATATATTAATAGGTAAGTTTATACGGAGTATATTTTAATTTTATTTGACTGAATTTCTCTACGTGTACTTACAGTTGATTGAAGTAAAAAAAAAATCAAAATTACAAACATCAATGCACAGGTTTATTTGTCCTGTGCTTATGCACATTTGACCGAAATCTCAAAGAGATAAGATAAACTCGGGAAAAAAAAGGAAAAAGAAAAGGAAAACCTTCTAATTATAGAAAAGCCCACTCATATTTTCAGTCTTTCAAAATGCACCCCTCTGCAATCGACATTAGGCTTCCCAGCGTGTCCGGCGAGAACTTTCTAGCGAAGATGAACGGGTCACGCCGTTTAAACGCCGTCATATTCGACCCATTATTAATCTCTTCATCTCCGTATCTCGGCCGGTCATCGCGAAGTGCCCGGATCAGCCCCGGCCCCACCTCGGTGGCGTTGTAGGTCCGGGGGTGGCCGCCGGAGCTCCGACTCCAGTCCACGTGGGTGAGCGTCGCCGTGGCGACCCCTTGCGGGTCTACCATGTGGAGCAGCGTAGGGAAGTATTGCTCCTCCGGGTAACACGTCTCCGCTTCCAGGCAGGGGGCCCGGAACTTCCGCCATAACTTCCGGTCACGGACGACGACCCTGGCGTGCTTGCGTGTCAGGATGAAGAACTGGGACCCGATCCGGAAATCCTCGAACTTCACCTCCGGCAGCATCGCCGTGTCCCCACGCGCCAGCCACCGCGGCAGCGCCCACGGCTCGTTGGCCAGAACCTCGATGAAGCTCCGGCCGGAGTCGATCACGGCGGCGTAGGTGAAGTTGAAGGAGTGGAGGGGGATGCAGTGCGGGGAGAGGAGGGCGAACATGCGGTTCCCCCTGTCGTGCCGGAGCGCGTGGGCGAGGAGCCGCCGCGCGGCGGCGGCCAGCGAGGCGGTGTTCCGGCGAGTTGGCATCGACGGGATCACCCGGCCGGCGAAGACGCCGCCGAACGGCTTCGTGTAGTTGTAGCTCGGGTCCGCGTGGACGTACACGTTGTACGCCCCCGCCGGCGCGTCGCGGAAGAAGAGCTCCCAAAGCGGCGCGAACGGAAGCGGCGTGGTGGTGAGGAACATGAACGCCAGCTTCCGCCGCTTCCCGGCGGCGCCCGGCTCGAACCCGACCCGACCCGATAACCGTGACAACGGCTGTCTCCTCCCAACCGGCGGGGAAGACCGGAGGAATACGGATCCTCTATCATTTCCCTCCGCCGCCTGGTTTCCAGTTCCGGGCAAAGGGTTATTACCCGTCGTGGAGGCGGCGGGGAGAGGGGTATTTATGGTATAGAAAAAAGCAAGTGGGAAACAGAGGAGGAGAGCACAAAGGAGAGAAAGGGGAGAAGGAGAAGGGAACATGGCTGGCTAAGCTAATCTATTAACTCTTTGATGATTCTTTATTTCTTTCTTTCTCTCCACTTTTGTCACTTTTTTTTTAAGTCCAAAGAAAGAAGATAACATTGGGCAGAGAGGGCAAAGGTGGAAGACAATTGGAAAACAGATTTCCACTAACCTGAACATTAAATATTCCTTCCCACCCAAAAAAAATTACTCCACAAATTTTCCATTTTTACCCGTTGAATTTAGAAAATTTTACATTTATGTTTCGTATATTTATTTAATACTTTTTCTGACCTAAATTGGATTATAATTTTTCGTATTACGAAGTAAAATTCTTTGTTTTTTTAAATCATTTTATTCAATAATTTTGTATAAGAACAAAAAAAAACTACTCCCTACGTTTAGAAAAAGCATTCCCACTTTGACTATAAGGCAAAATAAGGAAGTGTAAAATTATAGTTGACTTCTAATTTTGCCCATGATGTGATGGGTAAAAGTAAGATGTGATAGATTTATTATTAGAGAAAAGGTATGATGTGACAGGTAGGGTATGAAAAAATAAAGGTAAAAGTGGTTTTTTAATAAAAAGGGAAAGTGTTTTGTTGGAAGTAAAAAAAATAAAAGAGTAAGTGTTTTTTAGAACGGAGGGAGTATATATTAGTCGTAAAATACTATATCAAAAGTTCTATAAAAATAAAAAGTGACACGAAAATTTATTTTATCAAACAATCAATGAAAATACAGAAATGAGAAGAACTTATCGGGAAGTGCGAAAAAAACAAATTGTGATCAATTTTGGGACGGAGTGAATAATAAATAAGTATGAAAAATACCAAAATATGAGTCATAAGTGTTTTAAACACAAAATAAGAGTATAATGAATACGCGTTGACAGTGGGATAAAAAAGTGATGACAGTGTAACGTATCGGTGTGATCAGCCAATCGTCGATGATTCACGGTGGCACTCTGGTGGCAAGAGACGACAAATGACAGTGTGGTGGTGATAGTGTGACAGTGTAACAATGAAAGTGTAAACTCCTATTTTTGTCTTAAAAGACTTATGACTATTATTTTGATATTTTCATAGTTTTTTTACTCTTATCTAAAAAGTTCTCCCTAATAAACATGTATTCTCTCTGTCCAAAAAAGAATTGCTCAGACTTATTTGCACGATAAAATTTTATTCACATTGTTAATTTATTTTTATTAGTTATTTCATAATATAAAATAGTCATTTCATCGATTATTTTGAATAATGTTTTTATGATTTTTAAATAGGTAAATGTAATTTTTGAATTTTACACATACAATCAAATAAATTAAATACTCCTAGGGATAGGAATAAGAATCAATAATAGAAACGGACTAAAATACAAAGACTACCATAAATAATACTACCTCCGCGCGCCCTTGTATTTCTTTTCCAGTTTTTAATTTTTTCAGTCAACTGTTTTCAACCTTCGACCTATAATTAAAAAATGTATATATTGTATATTGATTAAATAAAATGATATTTTAAAAATATTTTATATAATAAATCTTATAATTTTTTATTTAATAATATTCAATACTCCGTATCATTTTTATTTAATCTGATGTTAAAGTGATGACAATAAACAACCGAGTATATGAACCGTGAGGTCGGTGAACTACGTAAGCTTATATTAGGAATGTAAAGATAGAAAATGCAAAGTAGGAGTATTATTCACTTGAAATCGAATCCCTTACCATAAGAAGGTCTTGGCCTATTTATAGGTTCAACAATATAGCTAAGTCAACCCGTACTCCTGTGACTGATACTTGTCGCCTAGTAGAGGTCACGTGGTTCTCATTGTCCAGTCCCTTTCCTCCCGTAGTTGTTATCATCTGGTCCTTATCATCCTGACAATTGTCATCTGCTCTGAGTCGAAGAGATAGGAGCCCGAGGTCTGAGCTGAGCTTGTCCCTACCGATCTGAGGCCAATTACCGAGCCCGTCCTCTTTTGGGGCCCTCTTCGAGCTTACCTGGCCGTGGGATCTCGTCTTGGGCCCAAAGCTATGTTGACGTAGGGTTATCCTCCACCATAAAGTTTACTAATTTTGACAAAAAAAATTAAAAGTAAGCGAATACTCAGAGACGGAGGAAATAATAATAATAATAATAATAATAATAATAATAATAATAATAATAATAATAATAAAACAAAGAACAACAACAACAATCATTCTCTCCTAATAGAGGATAGCATAATCTTTGTGTTTATAACCTTAAACAAACATTAACAGTGTATGGGGGAGCTAATACAGCACTAATCCTGGCGTTACAGTGGTAAACACAGAAGAAGCATTCCGCCTAACAACGTTAGTTAGCCCACTGGGCCTCGCAGATGTCTACCGTGTCGCAAACTGGAGACCTTTTCTTGCAGAAAAAACAAACACTCCTCCCAAACTCTCTCTCTTTTTTGTCATGTTTTAGCTTGTGCTGTGTTTTTATTTGATCGAAGTCCGGCAGAGTTTTACACCGGCGGAACTTTATGCCGGCTGAGCGCGGCAGTATCAACGGCGGCGAGGATGACGGAAATCAACGGCGCCGTGGTCTGGTAGACACGTGGCAGACATGCAGGCAAAGCCTGCGGAGCATTTTCCGGTCGGGTTTAATTGACGTAACGGAAGAGATGTGGGGTGGGGACACACACGATGCCCGCTGCAGACAGTAGACACCACATTTATGACGTGTGAGACTGAAACAATTTGTTACTAATTGAAAATAGGGAATAAATGTTTAAAGAAAAATTTGCATTAAATATGTCTAAAACATAAGTCATTTCTCATTATAAGACTTACTTTTTTTATTCTCTAAATAAGACTTAATAATATTTAATATGAGGAATAATATCTGGTGATGGTAAACATTTATTTGAATAATGACTAATGGATAATAAAAAAATACATGGGAATTAAACATATAGTCTTATATTTAAAAAGTCATTATATTTTAATTCTATTTAAGTAAATTATCCAAGTTTTAACAAGATGTCAATGAACTAACTTAACCAAAAATTCAAGCTTGTGGTTGTGCCACGAGAAATGTTTCATACTCCATCCGTCCCAAAAAGATTTACACCTTTCAAAAAAATTGCGTCTCACAATCTCCTACCCATTTCTATTAAAAAACTATTTTTACCCCTTACTTTTACAAACGCTACCTATCACATCATACCTTTTCCTAATAATCTACACATCACATCCTACTTTTACCCATCACATCAAGGGTATTTTTGGAAAGTCAACACAAAATTATTCCTCCCTTAATTTTAACTTTAGTCAAAACGTGTAAATTTTTTTGGGACGGAGAGAGTATATTCTAATTGGGTGGCGCTAAGTTTCGAATTAGGATCCATCAGTCAACAAGGCTCTGATACCATATCAAGGAACCAACTCACCCAGATACTCAAGCTTGTGGTTGTGGTCAGAAAATGTTTCTTATATTCAAACATAAGAGGTCGAAGAAATTTTCTAGAATTAAATTCTTTTTTCCAAATTTTACACCATAAGTATGCAGTTTCATTTTGTGTTAATGATATGGTGATGGTTTACAAAGATACAAAATATTACTATAATTTTTTTAATCACACTATAGTATTTTGTGACAGTGCAAATTACCAAAGTGTTAGCGTATATCGTCGGAGGAAAAAAGCGTAAAAATTTATTTTTTCACTCATTTTTGTAAAGAAAGTAGATTACTTTCTGGCCTCTTTGATTTTCTTTTACTCCATCCGTTTCTAAAAAGGTTCATATTTTGACTAATAGATAAAATAAAGAGTGTATATTTATATTTGATTTTTTCATTTTATATTTGATGTAATGACTAAAGTAAAATGTGATGTTTAGATTATTAGTAAAAAAATATAATTTGATATATAGGGTATGTAAGAAAAAAATGAAAGTGGAAGTATATTTAAAAACGGAGGAAATAACTCTTTTTTTACCTTCTTTATATTACCCTTTCTAAACAGAAAAAATTCCAAGATATGGAAGACTTTAGGATCTGACTTCCGCATAGGAAAAAACGCAGCCAACAACTTCTATTGAAAAAACTTTTCTAACAATTAAATTAATTTATATGATAGCAAAAACAAACTCTAATCATTTTTGACAAACAAATTTTAATGATTTCAAAGAATAAAAATAAAAAAATAATTATATACCTTTCTTCGAGAGTAGAGTGAAGAATTGTTGGTATAGTTTTGATGATTTGAATAGGGAAAAAATTCAAAAAATGTATAAATTTAAAATAATATGTTGGGATGGATAGTATTTGAATTTATTAATGAAGTTGGAAAGGCCTGAAAAGAGAAAAGGGGTAGGGTAAATAAATTAAGAAAAAGAAAGGGAGAAGAAATGATGGGTCACAACAATTTATTTACTCCTCTAAGAGAAGACCTCTTTGTCAGTGTCTCCAAATTATTAACAGATTTTTTTATCAGTATGATCTGGTCTGGGTTTATTTGTACTTGGAAGCAATAATATATTCATCACACGCGCGCACACATGTGTGTGTGCGCATGTGTAGGTAAATATGCAATCTTCCAATTACTGAAATGTTTTTTTCACTCACTATTTATACGGTCAAACTTTAATCACTTTCTTTACCTATTTTCATTAGGTATTTGATAAAATAATATAGTCTTGTCACCACTTGTTTTGTAAAAATTTTGATGTAGTTTTTAAATATATAAATTTTATTTTTAAATTTTACACCTACAATTAAATAAATTGAATTAAAAATAAAATCGGTCAAACTTCGTAAACAGAACCGGGAAGAACATTATAGGACGGAGGGAGTACAATCCAGTTAACCATGATTTGAGTTAAGTTGTCCATCATGATATGGGAGTTAATTAATTTGTTAGCAAAAAATATTAAAAATTACTCCATTTGTCGTAAAAACCTTTCTCCTTTCTTTTTTTATCCATCCCAAAAAAATCTATATAAAAAAGTCACTTTTTACTCCTACTAATTCTTAACCTACATATATCACACTTTTTCACGAATAATCTACCTATCACATTCAAGAGCAATTTTGGAAAGTCAACACCAAAGTACACTTCTCTTAAAATAAATTTCTTAGAAATCAAAACAAGAAATGTTTTGTGAGACGAAGGAAGTATTAGGAAAAATAATAACAATATATATAGATTATAGATATAACCCGTAGTATTATGCTCCCTCCGTCCTAAAAACTTATTCTCCTTTCTTTTTTGACTTGTCCCACAAAATATTTCTCATTTTTATTAAAAACTACTTT